AGTGATCAAAAGGAGGTATATCCCAGAAAGAGCTGCAATAATAAAAAAAAATGGAACCAATTTAAATTCCAATAACACATTTTGGTTAAATAAATTACAGGGCAATCACAAAATATCCTTATAATAATATTACTGAAAAATATTATATTTAAGAAGTAGGTAACCCAAACAATGATTTTATTACATTAGCGTGCATGTACGTGTGAACATACTGCATGCGTGTGCATGTACACATGAGCATGACCAACAGCGTGTACATCAAAATGTCGACTACCTCCTGGTAGTACATTTATGGGGTTTTATTTACTTCTATTTTGTAGTTTTGTATCATTTCCAAATTTTCCCTTTCTCCTTCCTCTATGCTTCCCCTGGGGAATGTCATGTGAACTCAGAACTTTGAGTCTCACTTGTCGACTAATGACTCCTAAATCTATGCCAAATCAACTCAAACTCCCAATGTGAGTTGCAATGGCCCAGTAGACACCTCTGCTTGAGTGGACCACACTCCTCTCAAACTCAGTATATCCTCTCCATGCACAATTAAGGGTCCCCTCCTCCTGTTTTTAAAACATGTCAAATACAGCACCATAACTGACTCTGTTTCACGAGTCTGCAATATCAGACTAAACCATGATCCTTCCTTTCTGATCTACCACCTTTAGCAACCCATCCAGACCTACACACTTCACCTCTGAATTACCTACCTGCCTCACAATCCTACTGCTCAGCCTTGGTTTAGGTACCAGACATTGGTTCTGTCTGAATTACTGAAAACCGAAAAACAACAGTTGTCTAGAGCATCTCTAGCTAAAGCTACTCTTCTTTCAAATCCATTATCTGACCTGCCATTCAAGTCATCCTCCTGAAATACTGATCTAACCATGTTTAAAATTTCCACCATTTTCCTTCTGTCTACAAAATAAAGTCTAAATTTCTTTACAAGTCTTTTTATCATCTAGTCCTAAATAATACCTCCAGTCACATCCTTTACCGCATCCCTATCTCCTGCCTACTTCCCCAACCTACCTCTTACACCATCTGCTCACTATACCAGCCCATTTGGAGGTCTTGAAACATACCATGCATTCCTTATGTTGGCTCTGCCTGGAAATTAACAACTCTCTCTTATCACCCACTCGACTTCTACTTTTACCAGTTCCTCAAAATCCAGATCAAAATTCATCTCCTCCTTGAAACTTTCCCAAATATTAAATCCACCTCAATGCCCCCCCCAAGTACATTCCGTTAGACCAACACCATCATAATTACACTAAACACATCCATCTGGCCCTATCCCAAGCTAGATAGCAAGATAACGTATGGCAAGGTTGACTCATGTTTTCACTCTACTGATGATCAAAAAATAAATATGAAATAAGTAGATGAAAGGGTAAACAAGCAAATGCCTTCATTTTTACTAGCTGTATATCCAACATAAAGAATAAGCTAATAAATTCTAGGCCCAAATTGTCATTCCAGTAAATCCTGTTCTGCAGTTACAAAACGAAAAGTCTTATAAATGTTGTATTATTTCACCAAATCTATATTTAGCCTCTATTATATACCATGCAAAGACCATGCTAGGGATTTTTGAATCACACTATAATAATACATACATAATGATACAACAGAACCATTCACTAAAAACAAACAACAAAAAATAAAGCAATCACAAAAATATAATTGGAAAGAATATTCTGTAATAACCAAGACTTCCTATTTATACTGTAATATCAAATACAATATTGTATTTAGTATGTCTCATTTATTTTAAGTATTTACTCAGGCTTCCTAGACTGAAATTCTAAAATGAAAAAAAAAAGTTGGCCTAAGTAACATTTAGGCTATTTATTATAGTCTAGTCTAGCCAAATTACAGAAGAACAAGGGGGTCAGAAAAAGAACTTAATCTCAGATTTATGGCCACAGAGGTTTTTCACCCACATACATGCTTTAGTTATTAGACATGGACACAAAACATTCTGAAGTGGACCCGCTGGGACAGTACATCAAATTGGGAAATGATGTGCAAAGGAGTTGATGAGTAGCAGAATTAATCCAGACTGTAAGGAAACAACAGAATAAACACGCAACAGAACAAACAAATTTCCAACAATGCCAAACTCCACCGTTTATTCTATTAAAAAGGCAAGGAATAAGAAAATCTGGATAGCAGAAGGTCAAGTCATCAGAATCTGAATGACAATGGAAGAGGTAAAAAATGATGTCACTCAAACTGCTAATTTACTACAAAATGATACAATCAAATTCAAGGGTGGGTAGGGTAAAAGCTCAGTGATAGAGTGCGTGCCTAGCATGCACGAGGTCCTGGGTTCAATCCCCAGTACCTCCATAAAAGGTAAAACAGACGGGCATCCTCCACTCAAAGAGCCTGAGGTACAAAGTGCTTTATCAGCTTCTCGCGGTGGCCCAGGGCCCACCCGACATCTAAGCTGGCAGCAGATGCATGTGGGGACAGGGACCAAACAGGGGAAGCACAGCCAAGCAGCAATCTAATCACCTCCCCACTACCAAATAAAATAAAATAAAATAAAATGAAGAAAAAGAATTTTAAAAAATTATTTAAAAAATCAAATTCAAATTGATGATTAATATTGTTCTCAATACATTTATAAAAGGATTTCCGCTAACATGTTAAACGTCTACACAATATGACCGAGGAGCAATCAGCCCATAAAGTCAAAGATACTAGAGAGTCTATTCATGTGTCTCACATCAAGTGGTCAAAGGAGAAAGTAAGAAGACCTCAGATGATACTTCAGCATCAGTTTGCAGTTTTACAAATGACTCAGGCAAGGAATACAGAGGCATTTACTTAACGTGACAGAGACAGCTATCATAAACCAACAGGCGAAAACACGCTTGAAACATTCTCATCAAATTCAGTAACTAGACTAGAATGTCCCATCATTTCTATATGGGAAATCAAGCTAATAAAATGAGGCAAGAAATGGAAATGTGTGACAAAAATGTTTTTCATATTTCAGAGGAAAGAAAATCAAAGTGAAAGGAAAGTGAAAGGAAATACTGAGAGAGGCTCAGAGAAAGGTATGCACAAGGGTAATTGTTTTAACTGTAAAGTTCTGTAGTAACAACTTTCTGGTGATATTTAAAAATTCAATTATGATACAATAAACTTGAAAGGTAGTTTTAGGAGAATTTGATTGTATGGGGAAATTTGCATTACGCAGCCTTAAAAATAAAACTGTATAAAGGTGTTTTTACTACATATTTATACACAGTTATATATGTATTCACACAATATAGAAAAAGTTTTAAACACAAAAACTATGATAGTTACTATATTATTCTGTTTTATCTGAAACTATTCATTGGTATATTATTTACATAATAAAGGAAAAGAAGCAAAAATCATTCTTAGAGGAACACTTGCAAATGGAAGTTAGTAAAAATTCCGAATAGTTACCCTTGAATAAAAAGTATTGGCAAAGTTTCAAGATAAAAATTGATGAAAGATGTTTTCATCACACACGATGGTCAATAAAAACTTGATATCCACTGAATTAGCTTAAACAAAATGGGGGGTTTATTGGAAGCATATAAGGGATATCTCTCCAAACCCAAGAGCAGGAAGAAGAACTGGGTTCCAAGACAGATTAGAACCAGGAATGACTATTACCCCCTCTACGCTCCCATCTGTTTCATTCTGGGGTCATGCTATATCTCGTCTCAGCTTCTGTCTACACTTCTTCATTCACTCCTTGTCACACCGAGGGGGTTCCTCTGGTTCTCTGTGCATAGACTTAACTCTGTTTCCTACCTACTGGGAAAAAATTCTACTCTCTCAGAGCGCTTTGTGTCTGAGTCCAAGTTCCCAGGAGACTAAATATAAAAGTCCATCTCAACCACTGGATTACTACCCTCAATTTGCACAGAAATGGACAACCTCCAGACATGGGCAAAAGGATTGAGGAGGAGGATGGGTGTGGTTCTCGGGGGAAATGGTTGTTGACTGACCCGGACTACAGAAGAAACAAGCTATGAGGGAAAGGAAGAATTTAATGCCATGCCTAGACTTATTCAGCAGAAAATCTGCTTTGGAAACTTATCAGGTCAAATTGTCCTTCCAAAAAAGCACCAGATGTCAGGACACATGGTGTAGAGACTGGGAGAACTCAAGGGTAAAGATACACCTGAGAAAGCAGAAACATGCTACGTATGATTCAAAGCTGTCAGGAAAGAAATGACGTCCTCTTACCAGGCATTACAAGAGTATCTATGAAGGAAAAATTAAGCAGGAGCTTAGAATGTACTGAAGACACGGAGAATCTAATCATTAAGTGGCAAATATCTGGCTTTTAGGAACAACCCGCCTTTTCAACAAGCCAGATGTAACTCAAGTCAAATGTACTGACATATGGGAGACTCAGAGGGGGTGGAGATGAGCAGAGATTTTAAGTTCATGAACTTACTGTGTATTTCATTTGTTATAATTATCCTAAATTTATCTCCACATTTAACTGTGACATTTATTAGCATTCCAAATAAATGACATTTAGAAGTTTGTTTTGTTTTCCTTTTCTTAGTTTTATTTTGTATTTCAGTTTGCATGAATGACTAATTAACATTATAGGGCAAAAGACTGCATTTCATATCTTCTAAAAAACTGAAATTCAACCCCAAATGAGTTACGGTTGAGTTGTATAGATTAGAGGACTTACTACATGTATATACTTAAATTATAATCAATGACTGTAGTAATATTTAAACATCCATCATCATTCAAAGATGTTGACTTTTAAAATTACTATAATAATTTATAGTAATTAATGGATTAAATAATTCTAGTGGATTAAACAATCCTTATAATTTAATTACATGCTTACACTTAGAACAGTGATGGTGTTCCTTAAATATGCACTAGGTATATAAATGAATCTCGTTTATCACCTAAGGCACTTGAAGAAAGACTTTTCTAAGCATTGATGATCATGGAGCTGATTGCTAAAATGAGGTTTTCTTATCTGAAGAAACTACTAAAAATCATCATAAGGGAGGTTTTTTTCTCCCCTTCGGTGAAATGAAATGGCATATAAAAAAGTAGGAATGTTATGATGCAGGAGAACACTGAGTATCCCAGATCAGGACAAACTGAATTTCACTGGAAGACCAAGTTTTATCCTGAGGTTTGGCATATAAATTTATAAACTTAAGTTGACACTGTATGACATTTTGAGACACGGACTAGAAGTACCAAAGACTGAAAAACAGCGATTTTGCTTGAGTTACATTTTCATTTTAACGAAAGATGTGAGGTTGAGCGCTGACCTTGGGTTAGAGGAACCAAAGAACTCAGAAAACTGGATAAATGAAGAGGACAGAAGCAGTTGTGTTGTACACAGAAGATGTGATCTCCTACTGCCTCAGTGCCTTGGTCTCTGCAAGGATTGGTGGAGACATCTGTTAAGGTACACAAGGTGGGAGATGCCAGCCAATGTAATTATACTGTATAAAAGTGGCATCTGACATGGAAGCAACCTAAATGTCCATTGCCAGATGACTGGATAAAGAAGATGTGGTGTATGTATGTGTGTGTGTGTGTATATATTATATACACACACACACACACACATATATACACATACACACATACACTGGAGTACTACTCAGTCATGAAAAAGAATGAAATAATGCCATTTGCAGCAACATGGATGAACCTAGAGATAATCATACTAAGTGAAGTAAGTCAGACCAAGACAAACATCATATGATATCACTTGTATGTGGAACCTAAAAAAATGACGCGAATGAACTTATTTACAAAACAGACCCACAGACATAGAAAACAAGCTATGCTTACCAAAAGGGGAAGTGAGGGGAAGGATAAACTAGGAGTTTGGGATTAGCAGACACAAACCACTATACACAAAAGAAAGAAACAACCGAGTCCTGTATAACACAGGGAACTATATTCGATAGCTTGTAATAACCTATTATGAAAAAGAATCTATGCAGGTATAACTGAATCACTATGCTGTACACAGGAAACTAACACAACATTGTAAATCAACTACACTTCAATTTAGAAAATCAACAGGAAAAGTTTTTTAAAATGGCATTGGAGAGGCCATTATCTTGACTGAGTGGGGGGTGAAGAGGATGGGGGATAAAGGTCATCGCTTGGGATTATCAGGTGCTTTAGAGCATGTCCACTCAAATGACAGCCTCCAAATGTTCACTCCCCCTAGTCCTGCGTCTGTTCCACTTGGTCCTCTGTGAGGTCATCCTCGTCCCCAGACCCCTCGCGCCTCAAGTCTCTGCAATGAACTTCACTGCTGAGTGTGTATCGGTGGGTCTTGCCCATGCTAGACCCTCTGACAACAGAGCACAGCGGCAGCGTTACATGGTGGCTAGAAGCTTAGACTTTGGTCCAGACTGCCTGGATTTGAACTCCAGTACCTCACACCAGTTTCCCAGAAGCGTAACTCTGGTCAAGTTTCTTCCGCTCTCCGTGTCTCCATTTCTTCATCTGTTTTTGAGGAATAATAATAATAATAATCTAAGTGAAGTGATTCTTCTGTTGCAAGGATTCAATGAATCTACAGAGGAAAAGTGCTTAGGGTGGGACCTGACAAGCAGTAATTACGCTACCATTACTGTGACTAGTAAAAGAAACTTTGAGCATGTTGCTGGAATCGCTCTCTGTCAAGGAGATAAACCAAAGACAACGAAGCCACCGCTTCACTCAGAGCTGTGAATGACAGTAAGTCATCACACTTGTGGGGACTGATAAGATAGGTCAAGATAGGAGGGAAAATGATGACGCTCGAACCAAAACCCAGGGAACTCCATCTGAGCCAAGGAGGAGGTGACAATGCCACAGGCAGACGAACAGAAACAGAACTACTTGAACTTGGGCTATTTTGAGGACGACATTACAGAGGTGGTTAAAGGGCAACGCAGATGGTGGTGTGGAGAGAGGACACGAATTCCCAACCTCAGATGCCCGCACACTCTCCTCTGAACTCACTGGACGGGGTTCTCTCTGGGGATGCTGTGGGGTCTGCCTCCTTGGCCAGATTCAGGGGAAACAAGGCAGGATCCATGCCTGCCCGAGATTCTACTCAACACCTTATATTGCTCTCCCAGGAAAGTGGTCTGAAGGCTGAACCTGCTAAAATTACTACAATCTGTCATTTAAGAAGACAAGCACCCACTGAATATTCCTTTGAGAAGACATCAGAACTACCATTTTAATTAGAAGTCAGAGCAGCAGATTGCTATCCTTGACCTACTAAAATTAAAAATACTGAATATACTAAAGAGATGTCTTCTCAAGAACTCTTTTAATTATCACTTTCTAGGTCCCACAGGAGCTCTGAAGTCAAATGAGACATGATCTCTGTCCTCAACGAGCAGAGGGGAGCAGATGTTACCCAGACAACAAGCGCTACGAGCAGGCACATTTCCCTGTCACTTCCCAATCTGCTTAGACACCTCCCTCCAGTATTTCCCCACATTTGGGAAGAATAAAGGAATTGGCTGTACTGCTGGGACTTCAGCCACAGAGGTGGCTCCTCCACTCAGATGCTGGGTCGTCTGCCTTGAAACCACAGGAGAAAGAGGAAATTTCCAAAGAGGAAAAGTGAAAGGAAATAAAGAAAAAAAGTCTTTGGTGCTTTCTGTTTGTGGACTGCCAAGCACTGGCCCACATGTGCGCTCTTTGGAGAATCCCCCGTTTTTGCTCAGATGCCACTTTCGGTGGTACCCCCAGTAATTTCTCACCGAGGGAGCTGTCCACTTAGCGGCCAGTGAAGTTACGCAAGTCCAGTTATTTTCCATGGTTCTCCTGCCTTCTCCAGGAAAAGTCCCACATCCTTGCTTTGTCAAGTGTTGGTGGTGCAGGCTGTTCCTCGGAGGCCCCCTTTCTGCTCCCTGTTGAGACTCCCCCTCCCAAATCCCAGAATCTGAGTCTCTCCATCTGAGGCCTTCCTTTGGAGACCACTCTATGCACTTGCAGGAATGGTGAGAGTGACAGAGAATGAATGCCCCCTAGAGAGCAACCCTCTACAGTGACTGATGAGAGCAGGGCTGTTAAGTGCTCCAGATCCCTCTCCGCTGTGCTCGTTCTAAGGCCTGAACTCCACACCGGCTCCTCGTGGGGTGAAGCACAAATCCCCTTTCCTGAAACTGTGGGTTCCCTTCCAGTCACACAGCCATACTCCCCTAGCGATGTTTACTAGGATCATCTCCTAAATAAGCTCCTTGCACTTCAATTCTCATCTCAGAACCCAAACTGGGACATCAGCCATGTCTCTGGCTTTTTCTATCTCCATTTAAAAGACATAGGAACAAATCAAGGCTTCCACTTAAGTAAATTTCCAACCAATCAACAGAATGCCGGTCTCACCTTTGCTTGGCTGCTGGAAGGGGGAAGCGCTCCAGGAGGGACAGGAGACACCTGCCTTCCAGTATGAACCCTGCTCTCCCCAAAGGCAGAGATCCCAATGCCTGCTCTGTTTCTGTCTCAGTTTTCCCCTTGCTCCTCAACTCTCTGATGGTATAAACTAGAGTAGATGCTCGGCTGTGGGTAGCGGGGACGGCTGATTGTGTAGGACCTGTTCTGCACACATCCATGACCTCTGAGGGCATGTATCATTCTCAATTGGTGGTGGCTCTCTCTAAAAGGTGAGCTATTCAGTGCTCATGAGTTTCAGCCATGGGTCCCGGTGCCAAATCTGGGAACACAGAGAAAGTTCTGCGTCACATCCTGTTGCTGATGAGCATTCAAATTATAGGTTTTTACTACTGATTAGATACAAAAAGCCTAAACTTCGGTGTGTTTATTGCTAGGGAAGTCCAACAAGAACTGCCTGAAATCAACATTTTGGGGGCAACATTTAAAAGCCAAGCTTGCCTATGTTGAAGGAAACTGAGAAATCGTGCCTAGATACAGTGCTGTGAAAAATACAAATAAGCAAATAAAAATTACATAATGTCTTTCAAAGTCATTTGCAGATTCATCTGGAAAGGTAAAGCCTGAAAAAATAGGATTAAAATGACGTGGCCTTACAAAAACAGACATATGGATCAACAGAACAGAACAGAGAGCCCAGAAACAAACCCACACACTTTCTTAAGCCACTTAATCTTCGACAAAGGAGGCAGGAATATATAGTGGGGAAAAGACAGTCTCTTCAGAAAGTGGTATTGGGAAAACCGGACAGACACACGTTAATCAGTCAAGTTAGAACACTCCCTCACACTATGCACAAAGATAAACTCTAAATGGCTCAAAGACTTAGATATAAGACAAAACACCATAAGCCTCCAGAAAGAAAACATAGGCAAACATTCTCTGACATAAATCTTAACAATGTTCTCCTAGGTCAGTCTACCCAGCCAGTAGAAATAAGAGCAAAAATAAACAAATGGAATCTAATTAAACTTATAAGCTTTTGCACAGCAAAGGAAACTATAAACAAAACAAAAAGACAACCTACAGAATGGGAAATAATTATTTACAAACGATGTAACTGACCAGGGCTTAATCTCCAGGATATACAAGCAGCTCATACAACTTAATAACAACAACAAAAATCCAGTCCAAAAATGGGCAGAAGACCTAAACAAGCAGTTCTCCAATGAAGACATACCAATGGCTCATAGGCACATGAAAAGACACTCAGTATCACTAATTATCAGAGAAATGCAAATCAAAAGTACAATAAGGTATCACCTCACACCGGTCAGAACGGCCATCATCAGAAAATCTACAAACAATAAATGCTGGACAGGGTGTGGAGAAAGGGGAACCCTCCTCCGCTGTTGATGGGAATGTAGTTTGGTGCAGCCATTATGGAAAACAGTATGGAGATTCCTTAAAAAATAAAAAACAGACTTACCATACGATCCAGCGATTCCACTCCTGGACATATATCTGGAGGGAACTCTAATCTGAGGAGATACGTGCACCCCAATGTTCACTGCAGCACTATTTACAACAGCCAAGACTTGGAAGCAACCTAAATGTCCATTGACAGAAGACTGGACAAAGTTCTGGGGTGTGTGTGTGTGTGTGTGTGTGTGTGTGTGTGTGTGTAATGGAATATATAACTCAGTCATAAAAAATAATAAAATAATGCCATTTGCAGCAACACAGACGGACCTGCAGATAGTTATTCTAAGTGAAGTAAATCAGAAAGAGAAAGAAAAATACCACATCACTCATATGTGGAATCTAAAAAAAAAGAAAAAAGAAGACACTAATGAACTTAGCTACAAAACAGAAACAGACTCACAGACATAGAAAACAAACTCATGGTTACCAGAGGGGAAAAGGGTGGGAAGGGAGAAATTGGTAGATCAGGGTTTGCAGATACTAACTGCTATATATAAAATAGATAAGTTTACACTGTACAGCACAGGAAACTATATTCAATGTCTTGCAGTAACCCACAATGAAAGAGAATATGAAAATGAATCTATACATGTAGATGTATGAGTGAAACATTATGCTGTACAGCAGAAACTGATGCAACTTTGTACGCTGACTACACTTCAATAAAAATAAATTTAAAAATTAGTAAACAAACAAAAAATATAAAACAATAAGGTCTTGGCCGCAGATATGACTCAACCGGTGTAGGTCAACATGAGCGAGCCATGCTGAAAGAGATCCCATCATCAAAATACAGCACATCTGAATGTGCCTGAACTGTTTCCATCCACAGCAGGCAAACAGTCTGCCTTTTACTGCACAGGACAAAAATCACAATAAAAAACGAAGCCTGAGAGCTAGAGAAGAGCTGATTGTGGGAAATGAGTCCTCTGAGGCAATTATTTCATTTACATGTGAGAAAAATCAATGGGTTGGAGAGTATCTTTCTTCGCTGAGAATGTTCTTTGATGAGAGAGAGGAAGACGGATTGACAGGGCAGTGGGTCGGCATCCCTCTCCGTGTGTGACAGCCCAGGCAGGACCACGTTCCCCTGACTTCTCAGCAAGGTGACGGAGTCACCTGTTTCCACCATCTGTAGCCTCAACACTGTGCTCTGTGTCACATCGTGATCAGTTATCCAGGCTCCTCTCCTTCACGAATACCCCCCAGGAGCTTGCCAAGCAGTGAGACAAGCACTCTCATCTGTGTGCAGATTTTTGCGGAGGGACAGCTGGAGGGAGTAAAAGGATCTGTCAGATCTGTGCTTTCAACCCAGTGCAATTCTCCACTCCTGATGGACTCAGTGCAACAGCATTTGGCATCTGACACACACACACAAAGAGACAGGAATAATTTCCCTTCCATTTCCTAATAATCAGCTAAAGCATCATTTTCTCTCTTTTTTTAAAAAAGAAGTATAGCTGATGCACAATGTTGTGATAGTTTCTAGTGCCCAACATAGTGACTCAGTCATACATATATATATATATACATTTTGTTTCTTAACTCAGAGCTGTATTGTGGGATAGAATGCAAAGTTCTCATGAAAATTTAGATTAACAGCTGAGGTTCAAAAGGATTTTTATACTTGAGACCAAATCCTTCAGGCTGTGCCTCCAAATGCCCCAAAGGCATGTCTTCAATCATCTGTGCTCAAGTGAACAATGACGGTTCACATCCTAGTCAGTCATACATATTCATTATAACTAGTTTTTCAAATGCAGAAAAAGGATCTATTTAAGCAAGTAAATCTACTACCTATATATAACTACTGTTAATAGTGTCACATTTTTCTTCTCAGTTTTTTTTTCTGAGTGCATGTATTTTATGAAATTGGACTTTCATATACACGGTTTGAAAAACATAGTTTTGGCTTGTTCAACGACATTCAGCCGATTGACGATGTCATTAAATAGTCTTTACAAATGTGATTTTATTGACTTGTAGACATTTCAGTGTCGATGCGTTTTAATTTCGTTAAAACTTGGAACCTGGCGCGTGCTGCCTCTAGTTTCTGTGCGGGAGTGTCAGCATCAGAGTTACCCGCAGGTGTCCCTGCACCTCCATCTCGCACGCTTCCCCTGGGGAGGAGGCTATCCTCAGCCCCTCCCTTCCTTCTCTTTGGTCTTGGCTGCCCCATCTTTGTTTTATAGAGAGAGGCTCCGTGCGCCCAGCACTGCTGGTTCCTGGGGAGGCAAATGAATCTAATTTAGAGATTCAGTATTCAGACGCCATGCACCTGAGCCACATGCTGCACTAACCGGGAGAGGGGGGCATGCTGGAGTCTCCACCTGCCTTCTCTGCTGTCATAATTCACCTGATTGGGAACTCAAGGGAGGTGAAGAAAGCTGTCTTTTATTAAGCCTTCTCCAACCATCGCTGAATTGTTCCTAAACTCCTATTCCAAGTAATGCTGGGATGAACACCCTTTTACAGGAATCTTTGTGTCTCTTGAGTGATTTCTTATGAGAAGTGCCTTGATTAGCAATTCCTTAGTTTTAAGATGCATACTGTCACGGAGGGGTATAGCTTAAGTGGTAGAGTGCATGCCTAGCATGCACAAGGTCCTGGGTTCAATCCCTAGTACTTCCTCTAAAAATAAACCTAATTACCTCCCTCCCCCCCCGCCAAAAGACAAAAAAAAAAAAGAAGATGTATACTGCTAAGTCCCTGTAAACACACTGACAATTTACCATATTGACCTGAAAATATGCTACCAATTTTTAAATACACAGATGTTTGTGAATGCTCTACACTAAAAGAGAACCTGTTAAGGGCAAGATCTTGAAGACAGAAGAAAGAAGGTAAAATACTTGGTAGAAGGTCTTGCTTAGCTGAGAAAAGCCTCTTACTCAAATATAAGCTGGTTAAATACAGATGTATGTAAGTCTATAGATGGGACTAGGGGAAACTGGAGAGAGTTCATATCTGTAAAAATTAAAAGGGTATGTATTTTAACCACATACACATTTATATATATGTTTTAAATATCATCTTTGACATTTTAAAGAGTTACATTTCCCATTAGCAACCAGCACATTCTATAACCAGGTGCAGCAGGGTGGGTATTAAACAATTAAGGTGATCAGGAGCATTTCAGCGGGAATTAAGAAAATAGCGCATCGAACCCATGTACCTCGAAACATACATTATACACTCTGGCAATAACTTACAACTGGAAAAAATACCCAACTTGGACTTTACTTAGTAAATGACTAAGCAAATTTACTAAGTAAACTACCTTAACTCAGCAAATGATTCAATCTTATCCCAGTCCTGCTAAGAACTCTCTTTCCAATATTTTTCTCTACTAATCTTGTAGGAAGTTATTTTGTCCTTAACTCTGAATGAGGTCTACTCGCATAAAACAAGGTAGCCATCACTGTTTCAACATACGGAGAAATTAGACTCTATCCTCAAGTTTGCAGCTTTCACGTTCACTGCAGCTATGCAAGAAAAAATGCTCTGAATTTGATAAATCATTATTGCTGAACTCTTTACCCAAATGAAACAGCAACTGCTTGAATGACCTCATGAGAAAGGCAGATAAC